AATTCATGCTGTGTCAGTGTCTCTGAAAAAGGAGACACTTCAGATTTGGTCCAAAGGGCAAAAGTTAATCTCTGATGAACGAGGTCAGAATAAAAATTAACAATATTACTTTCCAAGAACACTAAAAGTTTTTTCTCTTAACTTAAAGTAAATAATTAAACTCTCTTCTAAACTAGGGTATTTTCAACAACGAACATGGGTAACATTGTTCACAGTGACAAAAAACTAGGCTGAATAGTGTGGTTTGGATGTGCTGCCCGACTCATTGTTAGCTATATTAGCATAAAGTTAAAAAACAAAACATTCATCCATTAATTAACAGAGTCAAACACAGATCTTGGGTTCACCCTCTCACACAGCATTACCATACTCAGTCACCTTTGTAGTTACCTAACTTATATAACAGATGTTTTAAATCTTTTTTAACATACTGCGGTGCTAAATGAGGCCTGTACGTTGGCCTGTCAGTAGTTTACACGCGCTACGTTGCTGAATCTTTCAGTTACTAGTTTCGCGCTTCTGACGTGGCAAGGGTGGAGTACACTGAGGCCTAACAAAAGGACCAGACCATCATGTGTGACAGCAGGGGGGGGGTGTTTATTTCACCTCTGGCTGTTAAATGTTTTGATTTGTGAGTATAATGTTGTGTCTCACTTAATAAGGTCAGTTTGTTCATACCTCGTTTTGACAGCTGTATTTTACCTCCAGGTCAGCTGGATACACTTATGCATTTCGAAATGCTTCCTTGACCTTGAGTAGTACATTCTTACTACTTAAGGGCTCTTCTTTGCTCTTTTGTATTTCTGGCATGATTTTATGATTGAGGGAGGGCGAACTGAAACCATTTTTTAAATACTGAGCCTGTTCATAATATCAGCTGATATGAATATATAAAAATAAGAAAATCATATTTTACGTTTTGGTTTTGACACAGTTACCTTTACACTGAAAAAAAATTAATAAATGATAGTTTACTGTTGCTGCTAAATAACAAATGTAAAGTATCTAAATGGCACTCTGAGGATTCAGGCTAACCAGGCATACATTGTTAGTGTGCTATCCAGTTTCAAGCTGTCTAGCATGTGAGAAGCACATGCTTCTCTAACTTGTGCTTTTCAGATGTTATAAACAATACATGCGGTATATATCCAACTATGACCTAATTTAGAAGAACACCATTCAAAATATCTTTAACTGAACAAAAAATGACTCCTCCTTTTTCCTTGCAACTGTCCTCTAGTCCTCCACATTGTCTCACTGACTCTGGCTAAATAAAATCATGAATAAACTATTAAAAAAGACAAGTGTATCCAGAGGACTCTTGAAATCTGTGTTTGTAAAATCCTGCTTTGTGCTCTGCCAGTGCTGCGTGTTGCATTATTCACTTGAGGTTGTCTAATGTTAATAACAAATCAGTTATTTGATGTGTTGCCACGCAGACATCAGCGTCACAATTCTAATGCCCAGTAAGTGTTTTGTTTTTCTCCTGCTGTGTATGACTGCAATTACCTCAAAAAGCGCCTCGAGCAGTCTTGCTTTTATGAGCTCTTCAGTGACGTGGGTTGTTTGATGTTTCCATATTCACTTGTTTTCAATATGTATTTATTGAAAGGCTGCACTCTGCTGGGTTTTATAATAGAGGCTGTGGGCCATTTTAAGCTGTGCACACTGTGAAAAGACCAAAAGAAGGTCAGAAAGTCTGTTTCCTCTCAGCAAGAACTCATTACCCAGAGGCCACCTCTTCTGGGCCACTCCCTCTTTAAAATGTCAGTGTTCGAAATTGTTGTAAACACGCCCTTACTCCCATACTAAAAAGGTCAGGAGCTATTTAGTAACAGCTGATAGTATCATTAGCTGTAACCTAAACTTTCACCCTCTTTTTGCTTTGAATAATTCAGGCATCAGTTATTTAGTAGGGGGCGGCAGTGGGGGGGGGTATGGATGTGTCTTCTTGTCAAGTGTCTGATCTCTGTGTGAAGTTTGATCAATGAAAAGCAAATCACGTCAGACCCTGTGAGAATGAGTAATCTTTTAGTACACAAAGTAAGTTTTTATTAACAAATGCAACGTTTGGGTTTAATAACAGTTTGACCTTAATCATTGCGATGTACCAAGGTAAAATTAAAACAATTGCTGTTTTAATCTACTGTCATGAAGAAGCTCAGAGACAGAAAATAGATCTTTTATAGAGGTGTTCATAAATTAGTCCTACATCCAAAAAAGATTGGATTTCACCTTAATCTGGAACAAGAAATACTCACAAAAATGAGTACACCCGTCACATTTTTGTAAATATTTTGTTGTATCTTTTCATGGGACAACATTAAAGATATGACACTTTAATACAATGTAAAGTAGTCAGTGTACAGCTTGTATAACAGTGTAAATTCACCGCCCCCTCTAAATAACTCAACATACAGCCATCATTGCCTAAACCGCTGGCAACCAAAGTGAGTACACTCCTAGGTGAAAACGTCCAATTTGTGCCCGATTAGCCATTTTCGATTCTAGTGTCATGTGACTCGTTAGTATTACAAGGTCTGAGGTGGAAATGGGGAGAAGGTGTGTTGTATTTGGTGTAATTGCTCTCACACTCTCTCATATTGGTCACTGGAAGTTTAACACAGCACATCATGGCAAAGAATTCTCAGAGGATCTGAAATTTTTTTTACTCTACATAAAGATGGTCTAGGCTATAAGAAGATTGCCAACACCCTGAAACTGAGCTGCAGTACAGTAGTCAACACCATAACGCAGGTTAACAGGACAGGTTCCACTCAGAACAAACCTCACCATAGTTAATCAAAGAAGTTGAGTGCACATGCTCAGCGTCATATCCAGAGGTTGTCTTTTAAAAATAGATGTAGGGGTGCTGCAAGCATTGCTGAAAAGGTTGAAGGTGTGGAGGGTCGGCCTGTCAGTGCTCAGACCATGCGCCACACTACATCAAACTGGTCTGCATGGCTGTCATCCTAGAAGGAAGCCTCTTCTAAAGATAATGCACAAGAAATCCTGCAAACAGTTTGCTGAAGAGAAGCAGACTAAGGACATGGATTACCTGTGGCCTGATGAGACCAGGGCAAACTTATTTGGTTCAGATGATGTTATGGGTGTGTGGCATGTGAGGAGTACAAAGACAAGCATTTCTTGTCTATAGTCAAGCATGGTAGAGGGATGCCATTGTTTGGGGCTGCATGATTGCTGCTGGCACTGGGGAGCTACAGTTAATTGAGGGAACCATGAATGCCAACATGTACGGTGACATACTGAAGCAGAGCACAATCCCCTCCCTTCAGAAACTGGGTCGCAGGACAGTATTCCAACATGATAACAACCTCAAACACACCTCTAAAAAGACCAGTGCCTTGCTAAATAAACTGAAGGTAAAGGTACTTGACTGGCCAAGCATGTCTCCAGACTTAAACCCTATTGAGCATCTGTGGGGCATCCTCAAATGGAAGGTGAAGGAGGGCAAGGTCTCTAACATCCACCGGCTCCATGATATCATCATGGAGGAGTGGAAGAGGATTCCAGTGGCACCCTGTGAAGCTCCAGTGAACTCAATTTCCAACAGATGTAAGGCAGTGTTGGAAAAATAATGGTTGCCACACAAAATGTTGACACTTTGGGCACAGTTTGGACATTTTCACCTAGGGGTGTACTCACTTTTGTTGCTAGCAGTTTAGACATTAATGGCTGTATGTTGAGTTATTTTGAGGTGACACGAAATTTACACTGTTATACAAGCTGTACACTGACTACTTTACATTGTGTCAAAGTGTCATATCTTCAAAGTTGCCCCATGAAAAGATATAACAAAATATTTACAATAATGTGAGGAGTGTACTCACTTTTGTGAGATACTGTATGTAGCACCCTAAAGAGACTATATTCGACACTTACTGGTTTTACTGAGCTTTATTCTCTACAAAAAGATTCTGTACATGAACCACTAAGTCAGGCTAACCTATTGGGCTCTCACATTGGCTAAACCTCTTACATAATACAGACAAACCCATAAAATCCTGACACCACGAGCTTTGCTTTGGATGAAACAGTTATTAAGGATTTAACAGTATCACCCTCAGGCTGATTTAAAGCTTCAGACAGATCTAATGCTACAGCAACATTTTTTATGTTTTACAATGAAATTTATTTGATTTCTCCTGGAGTTATGACCAAAATTTTAGCAAAAAAAAAGCAAAAAAATATACTTGTTTTAACATTTATTGTCACGTTTGACCAAGAATACTCCAACATCTTTAAGCAGATAAGCTTTCATCAACACAGTTCATCGAAATGCTGGATCTTCATCCACCAGCGATGCTCCACCAATAGAAAGAACTTTCAAAACCTGGATGCAGGATACCAAAAGGGTGTCAACATGATATCCAAAATATTTATTACATTTAAACCAAATGTACATAAGCAACATACAATACCATCAACCACAGATAATACAAATGCATTTCTGGGGCCAAACAAAATTTGAAAAGTAAAAACAAACAAAAACTGTAAAATCTCAATCGTCATTTAAACCAGTGTGATTAGCAGTCTGTAATTTATGAATGTAGAACATTTCCTTGCCTTTCAGATTCATTGTCTGTCACTTTTTCCACATGAAATTAGGAATGTGATAAATTCCAAAGGCTTGTAATGTGGATGTGATGGTACTGCGGAAGTGCAAGTAGCCAATAACAGTTATACCAAATAGCAACCCAGTTATTTATTAAATTAGTTGTTTATTTGCCTTTGAATTATGTGATTTAGCTTAAAGAGGTCCATGACTTCAACCAAAAACAATGTGTGTTTCTAATAACAGACACAGACAGAACAGAATAAAGTATCAATTTCTCATTAAAAATCTGTGTGCTTGTTTAATTGTGCAGACTAAAATGTGAAAACTACGATCAGAGAGTTTATATGTTTGTTTGATTTGTTGAACGATGGCAGACGCATGTGGAGAACTCTCTCTGCCTCACCGGTCACATGTCCTTTGAGCACGTCGCGCGTCTGTGGCGCATCTTTGTAGAGACCTCTGGCAGCAGCAGACTGAGCGAAACAGATCGGATCGAGCACACCTGAGGAATGGAAAACACAACCAGAGGTCTGACCAACCAGTTCGTGCAGCCTCCGTGGCGCGTCGCGCTGTGGTCGGTGGCTTACAGCACAGTACTGGCCGTGGCGGTCTTCGGGAACCTGATAGTGGTTTGGATTATTCTGGCGCACAAGCGGATGAGGACTGTCACCAACTATTTCCTGCTGAACTTGGCTTTCTCTGACGTTTCCATGGCCGCTTTCAACACGCTCATCAACTTCATCTACGCGGCTCACGGAGAGTGGTACTTCGGCCAGGTGTACTGCAGGTTCCACAACTTCTTTCCAGTCACCGCCGTGTTTGCCAGCATCTACTCCATGACCGCGATCGCCATCGACAGGTACGGCCGTGTTATTATTAAGCTGGAGAGACGCGAGAGCCCTTTCAGTGACCTCTTTTTACGAACACTTTTTTTTTTTTAGTTTGGTTAGATTAGTTAGATTATTCCCCCCCGCTGTACATAAATTGCAGCTGAACAGTGGTGTTCAGTGTTATTTTATTTACTGTTTCGTTTATTTTTTTGTCTGAATTTGGTCTGAAAATACTTATTTTAAAATTGTTACAGTTTTTCCCATCTTTAATCTGACTTTAAAAATAAACTACAGCTGATGAATTACAGGCTTTAAATGCCTGAAAATGGGTCTTTGGGTCTAATGAGGTCTTGGGTAAATCATAGTATTCTGCCACAGTAACGGCCATTTCAGGGTTTGCATCCCACCTACCATGGAGAAACTCACACTTGTGGGCATCAACTCATAGCTGAGCTCACTCACTCACTAAGTTGTGGGCTCTCGGTTGTAGGTACATGGCGATCATCCACCCTATGAAGCCTCGTCTGCCTGCTAAAGCCACTCTGGGGGTCATTGTCTGTATCTGGAGCTTGGCTGTGGTTCTGGCCTTCCCGCTCTGCTACTTTTCCACCATCCGAACTCTGCCCCAAAGGACCGTCTGCTACGTGGCCTGGCCCCGCATGGCCGAAGACTCCTTCATGTGAGATCACACTGACACCCTCCTCTGTTTTTCTCTGAAAACTTAACCATCCTTATCAATTCAGATTTGAGCTGTCTTGTTTCTCTTAGCTTGCTATCACTCCCACTAAAGCTGCTTTGGTCAAGCAACGTCAGACAGCTTCCTTTAAAAGCTTGGCATCTGCTTCATTATTTGCACAGGTATCATATCATAGTTACAGTTCTGGTCTACATACTGCCCTTAGTGGTGATGGGCATCACCTATACCATTGTGGGGGTGACACTATGGGGAGGTGAGATCCCTGGAGATTCATCTGATAACTACCAAGGACAGCTACAGGCCAAAAGGAAGGTAATCACTGTGCTCATCCAATGCATTCATCCTCTGCCTTAACAATTTACTTTTGATTAATAGTGTAAAATGTTTATGGGGAAAAACAAACTTGAATTTAACATAACTTGTAAATGGCTGTAATAAAAACAGTTTTGCGTGAAGGAAAAAATATCACATTTTACAGAAAAGACAAATGTTAGGTCTTCTACATTTACTGTAGCTAACCAAGAAAAATGGCAGTTATTTCTCCTATTTGAGAAAATGTATATATTAAAAAAACACTTACCTAAACCAGAGAGGAAAACTACCAGCTCTGTGACTGAAATGCAACATGCAAAGTCTTTCCATCTTAAATTTGATACAACAAGTAATGAAATGTTGAAATGCTTTAAGTTAATACTGTGTTAAAACATCCCCGGAGAAGCAATGATATGCTAGTGCACAACAACTATAAGAGTGCAGATGTTTGATGACACATCTGCAGGTTTAAAGGAAATCCTAACACAATGAACAATCCAACGAAATATATAAAAAAAATAAATACGAGCATGTCTGCTGACTGCCTCCAGCTTTGATCAGTAAAATGTGACGCAGCAGAGGTTCAGCTTTTATATGAAAACCATATACAGGACAAATGCACCGGCACAAGCTATCTCTTTATTGCCGGGCACTAATGTTGACCTTTGCAAACACAACACGTCGAAACAGCCTGATCACACAGAAGTAAAGAAACTGGCCACATCCTGATAGCAGAGGATGGGATCCGGAGGCAATCGATTCACTCCTCAGCCAGACGGCACAGTGTACTTTCCAGCAGCTACTGTGAGCGCTGGGTTGAGCAGGGATTAAGGTCATTGCAGATGTCATGACGAGCGTCTATCAAGATGGGCCTGGGATTAAAGTCAGTTCATTGATAAATGCTCCATGTAGGATTATTCAAAGAGGGACCCTAAGGGTCAGACACTGGAAGTATTCATTGATTAAGGGTGTTTTGGATGGAATTAAAAGGAATAAATCTGTGGTTTTGTTTGTCTTTGACCCAGCAACAGTTTCTCAGCTTGATTTTAATGATCTCATATATGGTTTTAGCCATATTTGGCACTTTTTTCCTGCAAACTGAGGACAGAAAACAAAACAACCACATACTTCTATAAAGTTTTAAAAAAAAGTCTGTTGCTTGCAGGAGTCTTTTAAGAATATTTCATGGCACTGCATCAGATAAGAAAGCATGCTGTTGCAGATGCACTTCTGCTCATGATTCGCTGCCTGCTTCTTTTTAACCCCCCACAGCTTTGCATTGTGCTGTAACTTGCTGATGCGTTCTGCGGTGCGCTCTCTTCCATCCTACCTGAAACCTCCTGGGTACTGGTGCGTCATCCCTGACCTTTCCCTCTCCTCATGACAGCCATCCTGGACTCAATGAATCGAAATTATAATTACAGAGAGATAAAAATGGTCAATAAACTCATTATTTCCTACGCTGTGCATTGAGCTACCATGGTGCCAGACATTGCATGCTTAAGTAGCATTTAGAGAAATGTTTGCACTCATAATTTGATATTTCTCCTGCTAAGAATGATGTTTAGGATGCAGGTATGGATAGTATGGAAGTTTGAATACGGAATAATTGCTCAGTGTGACAAAGTTGAATTAATCTAAAGTAGCAAAAATGTAGCTTTTGAATATGAAGATTTGCTGGATACGGTTTAAACTATATGTAGTGTGAAAGGTATAAAGTATAGTGACAAATCAATCATCCAACAGCGTTTCTCTGTATCTATCAGCTCAGATTCAGTTGTACATCCTCCACTTTTTTGTTTAGCTCAGTTTCAGCCCAGTGAGCAGCTAATAGGTAATTACAAACTCAACATCAGATTTTTATTCAGATATTCTGTGGTCTGACAACTCAGATGTAGATTTTTTTTTTGTTTCACTGTCTAGTGAGGAAGACAAATAAAGCAGCTTACTTCTTTCTTTAGTCTTTATTTTCATTCTCATTAGAGCCATTCTGGGGTAAAAGACAAGACATACACAAACAAGGCAGGAGGTCATACACACACCAGAACGAAAACAAAGAAAACACTTTACCCACATCCATTTGAGTTTCTGCTGCACGCTTACATCTTTAGAGTTATACAACTTAAATGGTCTCAATCTCTTCCCCAAGGCGTTCCCAAGCTACAGAGTTTACATAAAAAAAATACATTCAGCACTAGTGGAATTCCTCCTAATCAAAACCTCACTGACTGATACCAATTGGAACCATTTGGTATTAATAATAATAATAACTGGTAATTTTCCAGTTGAAGGGCTTGTGTCAGTGTTCTATCATTTATGCAAAGACTATTGTTAAAAAGATTCGATGTCTTGGTTTCCTTCAGCACATCAGATATTCTCAGCTCCAGTTTTCATGCATCTATCCTTCACTGCACTGGTACATCCCCATATATAATAAAATCCTGTGCAATCAAATATTTGCTTTAGATTTGCCAGACCACCGTGATTTAAAGACACCTTTACTGTACCTTTAAGAAACTAAAGCTGGAAAGAATAATTTATTCCTGTTTCTACTCATGGTTCGGATTATGATATATAGTCATTTGTACATATTGTTTTAAAACTTTTTTTGTAGTTTTTTTGTGATGCTACCAGCCTGCTGCAAAACTTCTGATTATTTTTTCCCATGTTGTATTGTCTCAGATGCCACATCTGAGTTTATCTCATAATTCCCCAGACAAGGATTTTGTGTTATTATGCTATACCAGCACATTTTCTCGCAGTTACTTATGTTACATTTGCCATTTTGCACACTGAAGAAGGCTGTCTGTCAAAAATCACTGTGCTGTAAAACAGACCCGTTTGCAGCACTTTGACAGCAGGAAAATCACGTGTCACTCCTGACACTAATGAAGGCTCTGTTCTTTTCAAGTGCCCCAGCGAGACACGACAGTGTGGCAGCGAGCCAGCATGCAAAATACCAGCAGCCAAAAATAGAAGCAGCTGAACGGAATTAAGCCATCATTCATTTTATTACTGGTGCCTCTCCTTTTCCGCTTTCCTGTGAAATGTCAGAATGTCTTCTGGGGGCAGGGGCCCGCCTACTGATTTGCCCTCCTGCTGATGGCTTGTGTCCTGCAGGTGGTGAAGATGATGATTATTGTAGTGGTTACCTTCGCCCTCTGCTGGCTGCCGTATCATGTCTACTTCATCGCGACGGGTCTCAACAAGCGTCTGAGCAAGTGGAAGTACATCCAGCAGGTTTACCTGTCAGTGCTGTGGCTTGCAATGAGCTCCACCATGTACAATCCCATCATCTACTGCTGCCTCAATAGCAGGTGAGTCCAAGTCAGTCATCACCTCACCAACACTAATCAGAGCATAACTGCATGTCAGCGTTTCGTTGGCTGCAGGTTTCGAGCTGGTTTCAAGCAGGTTTTCCGCTGGTGTCCTTTTGTCCGGGTGTCGAGCTACGATGAGCTGGAGCTCCAAAGCACAAGACTTCGACCGTGTCACCAGAGCAGCGTGTGCACCAGCATCCTGAGCAAAGACAAGAGCACTCGTGGAAACAGGTCAAAACCCAACTCTGAGCTGAATAATAAAGATAGTTAGGGTATTTTTGATCCAATGAGCGCACTCCAGCTCAATGTGAATTATTTATTTGTGGATTATTTATTTCATTTACATTATTTTGAACTGATTGCTTCATTTTTTTTTCCTGTGGATTTTTTTTTTTCACTCACAAACTCAAAGTCTGTTAGTTGCCCCTCATACAAGAAAAGAGACCAGGGGGAAGAGAGCTTTTCAGTCTGTGGCACCAAGGGTCTCTGAAACAGTTTAACACTCTGGCTTTGTTTAGCAGACTCTGTGAGGTCTTTTTAAAAAGAAAAAAAAAACAACAAAATTGAAAAACATTTTTATTTAATCAGGCCTTCTGATGAATTTTTTTTATGTGTGTTTTTATTTATTTTGATTCTGTTTTAAAATGCTTCTCTTGTAATTAATTTTGTTTAATTGTTGTACATCGATTTGTGAATTTAATGCCTGTGAAAAGTGCTCTACAAATAATCTTTACTTACTTATTATGAAGGATTAAAATTGCGCGCAGAACGAGAAGAATGACAGCCTCTATGCTGGTGGTTAAAAACAAACCAACAAAAAGAAAAACAGGTATGTAGTTGTAAAGCCCTGGCTGTTGATTTGGGCAATTTATTGTGCCTGACAGCTGACAAAGGAAGCGATGGTGCAATAATCCTGAACACGCATACATCATAGACATATATTTTTTTGATGAAGACTCTTGTGGATTATTCTAATTTTAGAATAAATATAACTATGAAATGTTTTGCTTTACTATTACTGCCTTCCAGTCATTAAAATGTTTAATAGTTTCATTTTTTTTTATTATGACATGTTTCTGAATATATTTTTGTTAATAAAATGTCAAAACTTCATATTTTTCGTTGCTTTGTCTACATGAATGTTGTGGGCGTATGTGTATAAATTGAATTATGTGATCATGTGAGAAATTACAAATGTGGTGTTTTTTTTTCCTTTTTTGGGGGGTGGGGGAAGGCACTAAATCACACCATACAACTGTGACTACATTTAATTTCTCATAAATGCCTAACAAAGAATTTTAAATATTTCCATTACTGAGTACCCAGAGGTAAAAAGTGAGAACTTTTTATAAAAGGTCTAAAAAAAATTCAATTTCTCTTGTTTGTTTTGATTACATTAACACATTTGACATCATTGTAGATCTCAGTGGCTCTGATCAACTTCAGCATCAAAAGTAATGTTGCTTTACTGACTTTAATGTCTTTAAATCAGTTTTAGTGACACTGTTTTTGGAGGTGTTCAGATGTTACCTGTGTTTCATGTTTGTACATGTTAATTCACAAGTGCTTGCTGATGTAGTTGCAGGAAGCATGTGCCGTGTGAACTGTGTGGTTTTTCTGTATATAGGTGTTCTAACAGTATGTAGGTATTAATGTAAGTAAATTGTTAATAATAATAATAATATGTATTATAATATTTAAATATTTTGCTGCTGACTCACACATGAATACAAAAAAAAGACATATTTAGCCTTTACAGTGTGAATGTGTGTTTGTGTGTGTCACTAATGTGAAGTCTAATGATGAGTGTTACATTTAGACAGTAATTATTGTCCGGCTACTGGGCGAGTGACGTATTATGGTGTTTAATTTGGGGAAGTAGGACTTAATGTGTATATTTGTAAAAACAAAACCAAAAGAAAATCGTTAATTGTAGGTAAAATGTTTGTGTGATCACATTAAATTTGTTGTAAAGCCTTTTGATTTTTGCATGTTGTTTATTTGATAGGGAAACAGAAGGAATCCTTGAGGCGTGGTGTCTTTACAAGCAGTTTGAGAGGGAGAGCATTGCTGACTGTAACGACTAAAAAAAGCATTCTAAAACTTGTGAGCTAGTAATTTACAGATATATACACACTGAAGGAAGTTGTAAACAATATTCAACTTAGAAAATGTTCACTGACAAAAATGTAAAAATGGATGAGTTCACAGATTAATTAAAGAAAGAGAGAAAACTGATACCTAAGATTCTAAATTCTATTTGTTGGTTCAAAGATTCAGTTCATCCGTCAGACTCACAGGTTATTTACATGTGACATTGGCTGTGGCTTCACATGAGCCTGAAAATTTAACCCAGCATGGTCTACACCAATTTTCTGAACCTAAAAACTAAATTTCTCAATTATTTGGATTTTCTATGTGCCACTCTGCCTTGTTTTTAGTCCTCTCGTGACAGCCCATAAAAAAAATCCTGGAAACAGCTCCACAATACTCAGTCTCAATTTAGCCTGGAACAGCTGCAAGTAATTCCCATCTCTCATTTGTTTTCATTCTTTTAAAGTACACAAGTACAAGAAATAATAAACACATGCATAAATAATATATGTGAATTGGGTCTGTAATTCATAACATATGACAAGCAGAAAAGAATATTTGATAATATTTTGGCAGCCTACTTTAAAACTTTATTTGATAGATACTACAATCTGCCAAATAAAGTGCCAACAAATTGTAAAATGAATAAACAAAGCAGTACTGTAGATGATAACACTCAGGAAACTGTTCTTACTAAGCAGTTAAAGAAAACAAAGATGAGGCCGCAAGCACTGATACAAGCCACAGGGTGGAGACAGCAGCTGGAGGAGACCTGAAGACATGGAAACAAAGCAGAGAGGGGGATTACTGTAAAATCTTTTTTTTAGTTACTAAAACACGAACATGATACATTTAGAGATTGTAAAACCTCTGGGATTCAGAAAATGTTGAAATTTATAATTTATTTGAGATACATATGCATTTTTTAAGTAGCTGGACATACGAAATGTTTTCATGTGCTTTAAATGGTAAACATTTATAGCTTTAACACCACACTGCAGTTCCAAGGTCAAAATTTATGAAATTAATATGAAAAATATTTCACTTTAATTGAGAGAATATGAATCTTACCGTGAAAAGATGTAACAGTTGTGTGAGCTGTTCAGTCCTGAGTGGTTTAAAACAATCTCAAGGTATTCGTCACCATCCGATGTAGTTTTTGTTTCCACTTGTTCCACAGTGAAAACTTCTGCTGGAGATAAGAGTATTTCATCCTGTCCTTGACCGCACACATAGTCTTTCAGGTTGACAAAGAAGCAAGAAGTGAGATTTAAAATAGTACTCTCATTGACATCTTCAAGTCTCTTTAGCTCTTCATAGTTTGAATAAGCTAAAGTGAAACTTGTAAATCTCACTGTGGAGCCTTTCTGTGGTTTGTTTTGACCATCTCGAAAAACATAAAAGTTCTTGCACTCCTTTGGCTTCAGCAGCCTCATGGAGTCCATCAGCAGGAAATGAAGAGACTTGAATTGGAATCGTTTTTTATAGATGTTAACATTTCCACCCATTGTCTCTATTGCTTTGTTCAGTGTTAGTATGAAAGGCTGGTCTCCTTTAAGATAGACTGAAAGTGCAGCAGTATGCTCTTTTCTTCCTCCAGGGATCTGCTTTGAACACTCGTTACTTTTATTCCACGCTTTCTGAAATCCTTCACTGTTGCTTAGTTCTTTTTTTAACACGTCTGACTCGATGAACTTCTTCATGGCCTCTTCACGACATCCTTTGTACTGGTCATCTACAACATCTGTGGTCTTTTGGACATCCAGTAATCTTGTATCCTTTGCGGCCACCTTTAATTGATATATCACATTTAAAAAGACATTTTTAAATGTATAATTTTTCTAACCTTCGAATATTTTTTTAAACACAATTCTTACTTTATAGCAGACAAGCATGAAAATTATTGCAGCAAGAAGCACTTTACTTCTGCACCCCATTTTTGTTCTCTTCTTCTTCTGAAAGAAAGCACTGCAGGATCAAATGTGGACAGAAAAAAATTCTTTAACACTTTACACAGTCCAGAAACAAGTTTAAAATTTTAAATGTTGGAAAGATTGAAAAGCACATACCTGAAGCAAGAAGAGTAAACTTGTGTTAGCAACTCACAAAAAGGCTGTATTGTACTGTACTGTACTGCAGGGAACACAGGGTGTGGAGCAAAGAATCAAGATGTCATACAATAGAACTTCTTAGTCTTTCCTGTGGAAGGAAGTAAAAAGGCACTGGGGGACCAGTTGTCCAGTTATTTATCCTGAGTAAGCTACCCAGTTCCTCTAAGCTTGTTCAGGTTTGTTGTAAACTGCTTTACAGACCAAGTAATGGTTGCATAGTTTTGCCCCTTTAAACCAGCAATAATTTATTTGTGTTCTAACATAATTTCAGTACAGCTGATTGGGCCAGATACCTCTGTAATTCTTCAGTGCAGCCTTTATCCAAAGTAAACAGGAGACTCCAGCAGCCCTAGTTGGACATCTTAAAGTTACAGTGTGATATGTTCTGAGCTCACAGTACTGTTGTCCACACTGAGCAGTAACTTAACACATTAACCTCACTACATGCTTTTGCTTTGCATCATGATCTACCCACTTATAAACATTTCACTGTGACATGTCAGCAATCAGCATGGAAGAAATGTAACAATACTTTTCTTAACATAAACTTATAAAGTACTAGTGAAGTAATCACTTGATACTCTTCATATGATATAGCTGGTAAATTAAGCACTAAACTAAACACTTTTTACTGCACACATACCTGATGACTTTCCACTGTTCTCTGGTGCTTGTTAAGAGTAAATTCCTGCTGAGCAAGATCATGTTCTGTTTCCTACTTTCCACTCACGCCCTCCCTTGCTTTGTAGTAAAACATGCATGCTAAAACTTGGGTTTGCAGAGCACTCTGACAGGATTTTGTATTGCAAAACTGTTCAGTTTGAGTAAGAGGAAGGAGGGAGTGCTGTGGATTCAAGCAGTACCAGGCGTAGAGATTAGATAGTTTCATATATTTCGCATATATTTCGACATGAATGTCCATGGAAGGACTTGTTTTCCAGCACATCCCACAGATGCTCAACTGTGGTGTTGACTAAAAAAATGAGTTTGAGTCAACACCTCAAACTCATTATTGTGAACCTCAAACGGTTCCTGGACCATTTTTAGTTTGTAGCAAGATGCATTACTCTGCTGAAATTAGTGTCAGATTACTTTATTAATCCCTAAGGAAATTATGTGGTTACAGTTGCTCCAAGACAACAACAGTAACAGACTGAACTAAATTAAATAATACAATATATTACAAAGTTTACAAAATATAAGAAATAGCTCTAATATATACAAAAAGCTCCAATTATCAATATCCAGAATATTACAGAGGTGAAATATAAATGATTGGAATTTTACTCTAAACTGTAAAACTTGTTATTTGTTATTTTCACTGTTGAGGATGTGCAAAAGGGTGTAACTACTGCAGTGTTTACAGTGCATTTGATGGAGGAGTTGTACAGAGAGATGGCCATAGATAGGAATGATTTCCTGTGTCATTCAGTTGTGCCTTTCTGTAATCTCAGTGTCACACTGAACGTGCTCCTGTGACTAGCAAGCATGTCATGGAGTGGGTGGAAGGTTTTGTCCAGCATTTTCATTATCTTGGACAACATCCTGCTCTTAGACACTACCCTAAGAGATTCCAGCTCCATCTCCACAACATTACTGGCCTTGCTGATCAGTTTATTGAGTCTGTTGGAATCTGCATCCCTCAAGCTGCTGCCCCAGCATGCAACAGCATAGAGGATGGCACTGGCCACAGCAGACCCATAGAAAGTCCTGAGCATTGTCTGACAGATGTTAAAAGACCTAAGCCGCCTAAGAAAATAGAGATGACTCTGGCCCTTCCTGTAAAGTGCAGATGTGTTTTAACCCAGTCCAGTTTATTATCTATGCATACTCCAAGGTTTTTACAGTCCTACAAACGTCCACATCGACTCCCTGGACTGAAACAGGGGTCACAGGTATCCTGGTCTTCCTAAAGTCCACAATCAGTTCTTTAGTCTTTGTCAAATTGAGCTGCAGATGATTCTGCTTGCACCATGTGACAAAAGAGTCAACCACACTCTATTACTGCATCTCATCACCCTCACCGATGCATCCAACCACCGCAGAGTCATCAGTAAACCTCTGAAGATGGCAGGTCTTTGTGCATTGGCTCAAATCTGTGGTGTAGAGGATGAAGAAGAAAAGGGAGAGGACGGTCCATTGTGGTATAGAGACCATAGCTGTTCCCATCAAAGTACATGATCCGCAGGAGTAGGGGGTACATGTCAAAGTAACACCCACATGAATGGCAGGGCCGATGGTTTCCAGCAAAACACTGCAATACACGCAGTTAGGAGAGAGACAACTTTTTTTTAAAGGCAGCATGGTGGCACAGTGGTTAGCACTGTTGCCGCACAGTAAGAAGGTCCTGAGGTCAATGCAACCATCAGGCCGGGGTCTTTCTGTGTGGAGTTTGCATGTTCTCCCCGTGTTTGCGTGGGTTCCCTCCGGGTACTCCGGCTTCCTCCCACCGTCCAAAGACATGCAGTTTGTGGGGATAGGTTAATTGGAAAATCCAAATTGTCACTAGGTGTGAATGTGAGTATGAATGGTTGTCTGTCCTTGTGTGTTAGCCCTGTGACAGACTGGCGACCTGTCCAGGGTGTACCCTGCCTCTCGCCCTACGACAGCTGGGATTGGCTCCAGCGCCCCCCGCGACCCTGAAAAGGAAAAGCGGTAGCGAATGGATGGATGGCATAACCA